GTAGCCAACTCAGTACATGTTAGGTGTAGGGGAGGAATAGAGGGTTAAAATTATAATTTTTAATTTTTTATTAACATTAAATGTTGTGATTTAATTTCCATATCCTGTTATTCTTAAGGGTGATTATACTCTGTTTAGAGTGACACCATAAATGGTGTCAAAAGAGGGAATTCAAAAATTTCCCTTTAAAAATCTTTAATCACACCCTAGAGTTTTAATAATCTTGTGTTTTGTGTTCTATTAATCCTGTGTTTTATGCTTTATTAATCAAGTTAGCCATGTGAATGTTTGTCTTTCCTTATGTGATGGTTTGAACTTCTTTGATGACTGGTAACAGTTTGCAAGTTGGGTGTCGATGGAAGGACTGAAGGACTTTTATTATCAAATTGTCTATTAATAAAAGTGTTTATTTTTGTTTGTATTGTATTTTAATGAGTGACACCCTAGAGGGTGTCAAAAGAGGGAATTGTTGGGTTTTATTTTTCTCATAATTGGATTTGTATGTGATGAATAGCTTAGAAGGAATGCATTAATGATTAAGCATGAATGGTTTGTACTGTACTGATATAAATTGTTTCACCTAACAAGCTGTGATTAATGTGAGGAGCTGTTTTAGGGAGTAGGGGGAGATAAGAACTTGTGTCTCAAAATACTAATACCTCACTGCCTCTTTGTGATCTGTGAACCGTCCTTGAAACGTAGGTACATAGAGTACAGTGGAACGGTGTCTTTTCGGTGCTGACTCTGCAGGTTGTTATGATAAACTTATGCCTGGCAACAGAGTGCAACAAATGGAGTGCCAAGGAGTTGAGACCAACCCCCGCGCCAACGGATTGGCTGAAATGGAGTCTGGACCACACTCAGTCCTTTGCTCTGGTTGGCCAACAGAAGAGGTGGAGGCTTTCTGTCAGAGTATTTGAGAAAGAATCTGTAAACAATAATTCTAGTTCTCTGTCGGCCCTGCGTGGTTTGTCAGTGAGCCCGTATACGAACTTTCATACTTATCATACATACATTTTGCATATAATAAATTAAGCTTGGATTGAAGATCTCTTGATTCTTATTCCAATACCAGATTTGAATTACGCAATTTATAACAATTTATATAATAAACAACATATCGAAGTAAATTTGGAGTCACGCGATATGTTGTGTGGTCCTCCCATTAAGACTTGGGAAAGCATGCAGTTCAGGCTTCAGATTAAATACGTTATGATAAACTTCACAGGGTGGTGAATATGCAAGGTGATGAGCTTTATGCTACTTTCCAATAAATATCGAGGGTCTTAGTCTGGTGACATTTTGAACTATGCTTTGCTGCCGTTTGACTAATACAAATAATATTGCTCTTATCCATAATAATTAGGGGTGTAACGATTCGTTTTAACAACGATTCGATTTGTATCACGATTCGTGGTTGTCGATACGATTCAAGGACGATATTGGTTCATTTAGAACGATACGATCCGAAACGATTCAGTGACTTGAAATCGATTCAGTAACCTTTTAGCCAAAAATTCAACCAGTGTGACTGAAATAAATACCTGGTAACCAGTTGCATTTTAATGGCTGGCAATAGTCTTGATATTTTTAACAGTGTTTCATGACTCCATGCAGACCATCTGGTATTATGAAACTTACCAAAAGTCTCACAAGTCCGTCTGTTATGGCCTGTGCGGTTCGGTCAGCACCCAATTCAATCAGTCCAATAAAGTCCGAAGTAAACTCTCCGTTGCTGGACACAGACACAATGTAAACTATTTCCTGCTCAGTTTTTGTGATGTCCTCAGATCCATCAAAAAGCATTCAGTAAATGAACATCCTCAGAATAGGAAGACATGGGACGTGCGTGTTTAGCTTTATGGAAAGAGAAAAATATTAAACAGAGCTTGCCGCTGTTCTTCATTCAGCTTGTCTCGCCATCTGGCAAGTGGGCGACTGGACATTTATTCTCGGCTAGCTTTTAGCAATGGCTTGCGCCACATTCGTGTGCTCCTTGCTCTTTTCATGTTTGTCAAATAAAGGATGGTTGAAATTCTTTGAGCCTTTATAAAATGCACCTGTTTTGTCTGCTAGATGTGGATTTGAGCGGCAAATCTTGCACCACATTTCAGTGCGCTCATCGTTAGCTTCAAGCCACTTTTCCGAAAAAAGTATTTTCTTCGGCTCTGGCTCCAGTTGGCGTTTCTTTGTAGGTGGCGAAACGCCAAATAAGCTGCTTAATGTCTGTTGCTTTTTGGACATCCCTGACAGTAGTTGACAAGCAACATGTCATGTTAAGGTTAGATGAGAAGATCGGTCAAGTACGCAAAGGCGCGTAGTAACACAAGTGGCAATACGCATTCCTGATTTTTGTCGCGCTTGCGTATCTGCGTACCAGTTATGTGCACCCCTGCATATAAAGTCTGACGTGCTTAAATCCAATGGGTTATTTCCTAGTATCGATACAATCGATTTATTACATTTTAAAACGATGTTAGATCGATATATGTTGTCCAAAAGGCCAACTCGCCGAGCACAGATCGATGTAGTTGGATCATATGAATATAAATCGATACATCGATGTAGTAGATGGATCGTTACACCCCTAATAATAATCTCATAATGTAGGTAGCCGACCTGCACTGTATCTAGCTGTTGGCTAGAGCGCACGTGCCAAGACCAGAGTGGGCACATTTGTTATAACGTAACAGTTTTTGTGACAAAACCATCAGTAGAGTTGAAAATGCGTTGGAAACCCATTTAACTTATATTTTTCATTCAGTACATGGGAATTTAGTTTTATGTGCACTACGCCAAGTTATTTCTATGTGCAGTACGTCACCACGCACAGCATTTTATCCGCAATAGAGCTCGCTAGCTTGTAGTCCTAAAACCCGGAAATGAGTTACCTCTGGTTCGTTCAGCCATCCCTATGGAAAGAATACAGTATAAATGTCCAAAATAAGTCCGAGGTTAACACAGCCTTAGGAGATCTTATACGTTTTGTTTTATGAGATAATATCAGTCAGTCAACAGGACCTTTATGAATTATGAAGCCTTTATGCTTTGTTTTTTATTACTACATAAACGTTAAAAGAATTCACAAAAAGTTTAGCTGATAAAGATTATCTCATGGAACAAAACGTATAAACTCTCCTAAGCCTGTGTTTACCACAGACCTTATTTTCGGCAATTATCGAAAAACCTTACAAAAATGCCATTCATTTTCCCATAGGCCTTTCCCAAGGAACCATGGCGGAGTTAGTGCCTACAAAAAGACGCCATCACTATTGCTCTCTATAAATACGTTTGATGGAAACACATCTCTGGTGGGAAAATGTGCATACTGTTTTGTGCAGATTTTAGAATATTCACATGAAAATCTGTCGCAAACCGAATGGTAACCTAGCTACAGACTAAAACATCACCAACAATATTTTCCCCCGATAAAAAGTTTATCTCATGTGAAACTACCAGGAAGTCTGAAAAGACAGACTGAGTGGGCAGGGAGCTAATTGGCTGGGGAGCTCACCTTGACTAACAGTTCTTTGAAACCGCCTATGTCAAGCAACATGGACGCAGTGATGCAATGAGATTATCTCAAGATAATTTGCTGATACACAAAGCAACTCATATCATGGTTTCACAAATTATTTTTTTATCCTGTTTGGTTACAGCGTCAATATAGAAATAATGGTTGCTATATAATTTAGCTAGCTAGACCAAATTGAATTTTCAGCACTGTTTATCAAGCTAGCTAGCTAGATCATCTTGGAAAATGTTTGTTGAAACTTTACAGGTTGTGGTCTGGGTATGGACTACAAGGTGTCGAAAAGCGTTCCACAGGGATGCTGGCCCATGTTGACTCCAATGCTTCCCACAGTTGTGTCAAGTTGGCTGGATGTCCTTTGGGTGGTGGACCATTCTTGATACACACAGGAAACTGTTGAGCGTGAAAAACCCAGCAGCGTTGCAGTTCTTGACACAAACCGGTGTGCCTGGCACCTACTACTATATCTCGTTCAAAGGCATTTAAATCTCTTGTCTTGCCCATTCACCCTCTGAATGGCACACATACATAATCCATGTCTCAATTGTCTCAAGCCTTAAAAATCCTTCTTTAATCTGTCTCCTCCCCTTCATCTACACTGAATGAAGTGGATTTAACAAGTGACATCAATAAGGGATCATAGCTTTCACCTGGATTCACCTGGTCAGTCTATGTCAGGGAAGAGCAGGTGTTCATAATGTTTTGTACACTCAGTCAGACAATGTTCATATATCATGACTATCAATGATGTCAAGAAGTTTGTATGAATCTCATGTTTGGCATGTCTCTTGATGTAATGACATGACAAATGTGTCTGAGTTTTGGGCTAACCTTCCCCCACTTTTGTTCCATGCTGATGATAGACCTAGCTAGCCAGTAACTAGCTAACACCAGACACAGATGAAAGCGGAAACCTATAAGTATATTTGCCTTAGAAAATATAATTACAGGTTTCCCCTATTCATCGAACACGCTGCTATGTAAACCACACCCCTCTGCGAATACGCCTTCTGCGATGTTGGTTACAAGGCGGTACTTATTTAAATTAGGTAAGAAAATAATGTCACAAAAATCCTTTAATAATCCCAGCTCCTGAATCCAAGTGGTTGACATGGGGGAGAGGATGAGTAACTTTATGATAACTTTATCAATGCAGAAGCAACAGTCATTTTTCATACTTTGGTCATCCTACTTTGATCTGATTTAATTCGAATATCATCACATTTCATGAAAAACATGATTTTGACTGTGCAGGACCTTTAACAAAATAAGTGACAGACCATAAAGAATATAGTCGTTTAAATTTATGGTGCAGTTTATGAGCTAGGTTAAACCGCAGGTCAAATCAAATGGCGCACACACAATCTATTTTACAACACAAAACCATTAGGAGAATATTAGTTGTTCACAATTGAATTGTGAGTTGATGAGACTAAGACAAGTATAAGGTTTGATGAGACCAGTTACCTGTAGACTTCACTTCTGTTGGTGAGGCTGTGGATTAAAAGAGAAGGTGATGTACTCAATTTATATGGTGAAATAATCAATTGTATCATAATTAGATTAAATCAACAACAACAGCACTACTACCATACTATTATGATGATTGCTACTAATGTAAAATGTAAATGTAAAATACTACTATTACTACTAGTTCTATAGTAACTCCTACTCTCTCTGAATTTCAGTTACCTGGTAGTGAAACAAGGCGGTTCCATAAACGTTCATTTTCAGGACCGTCATGTTCTTTCAGAAGAAGATTCACTTCTTCAACAACAGTTTTTAAACGCAACAGGAATGTTGGCATGTAGTTTGTATAGGAATCATAATCCACAAACTCTGCTTCCTGGAAAAAAAAGCATGAGTATCATGTCAATCAGAATTATGTGATTTCTATATCTTATCAAGGTAGCGTCACAAAAATAATTGACATGTGTTAACACATTTCCTCTCTCTCTCTCTCTAGCTCATGTTATATATATTAGCCTACCTTTGGATCTATGTGATGTTCATCTGTAAGATCGGTGGAGAGGGTGTATTCTTGGTCCGGGGTTAGTCTACAGTTAGGATTTATTTCAATGTATTTTTCTCTGTCTCCATTCCTTCTCCTCCTTGTCTTACACACCTTAAGAGGATTGAAAATGGTTTGGAACACACTGTCATGGTGAGGTAGCTGTGGCGTGTGATTTGGACGGAGTCAGGCGCAGGAGAGTAAATCACAGAATAAAGGTTTATTCCGTATATACAGTGGGGAAAAAAGTATTTAGTCAGCCACCAATTGTGCAAGTTCTCCCACTTCAAAAGATGAGAGAGGCCTGTAATTTTCATCATAGGTACACGTCAACTATGACAGACAAAATGAGAAAAAAAAATCCAGAAAATCACATTGTAGGATTTTTAATGAATTTATTTGCAAATTATGGTGGAAAATAAGTATTTGGTCAATAACAAAAGTTTCTCAATACTTTGTTATATACCCTTTGTTGGCAATGACACAGGTCAAACGTTTTCTGTAAGTCTTCACAAGGTTTTCACACACTGTTGCTGGTATTTTGGCCCATTCCTCCATGCAGATCTCCTCTAGAGCAGTGATGTTTTGGGGCTGTCGCTGGGCAACACAGACTTTCAACTCCCTCCAAAGATTTTCTATGGGGTTGAGATCTGGAGACTGGCTAGGCCACTCCAGGACCTTGAAATGCTTTTTACGAAGCCACTCCTTCGTTGCCCGGGCGGTGTGTTTGGGATCATTGTCATGCTGAAAGACCCAGCCACGTTTCATCTTCAATGCCCTTGCTGATGGAAGGAGGTTTTCACTCAAAATCTCACGATACATGGCCCCATTCATTCTTTCCTTTACACGGATCAGTCGTCCTGGTCCCTTTGCAGAAAAACAGCCCCAAAGCATGATGTTTCCACCCCCATGCTTCACAGTAGGTATGGTGTTCTTTGGATGCAACTCAGCATTCTTTGTCCTCCAAACACGACGAGTTGAGTTTTTACCAAAACGTTCTATTTTGGTTTCATCTGACCATATGACATTCTCCCAATCCTCTTCTGGATCATCCAAATGCACTCTAGCAAACTTCAGACGGGCCTGGACATGTACTGGCTTAAGCAGGGGGACACGTCTGGCACTGCAGGATTTGAGTCCCTGGCGGCGTAGTGTGTTACTGATGGTAGGCTTTGTTACTTTGGTCCCAGCTCTCTACAGGTCATTCACTAGATCCCCCTGTGTGGTTCTGGGATTTTTGCTCACCGTTCATGTGATCATTTTGACCCCACGGGGTGAGATCTTGCGTGGAGCCCCAGATCGAGGGAGATTATCAGTGGTCTTGTATGTCTTCCATTTCCTAATAATTGCTCCCACAGTTGATTTCTTCAAACCAAGCTGCTTACCTATTGCAGATTCAGTCTTCCCAGCCTGGTGCAGGTCTACAATTTTGTTTCTGGTGTCCTTTGACAGCTCTTTGGTCTTGGCCATAGTGGAGTTTGGAGTGTGACTGTTTGAGGTTGTGGACAGGTGTCTTTTATACTGATAACAAGTTCAAACAGGTGCCATTAATACAGGTAACGAGTGCAGGACAGAGGAGCCTCTTAAAGAAGAAGTTACAGGTCTGTGAGAGCCAGAAATCTTGCTTGTTTGTAGGTGACCAAATACTTATTTTCCACCATAATTTGCAAATAAATTCATTAAAAATCCTACAATGTGATTTTCTGGATTTTTTTTTCTCATTTTGTCTGTCATAGTTGACGTGTACCTATGATGAAAATTACAGGCCTCTCTCATCTTTTTAAGTGGGAGAACTTGCACAATTGGTGGCTGACTAAATACTTTTTTTCCCCACTGTATGTCGATGTCGATACAAAGTACAAGGAGCTCCACCGAGCTCATATAACCTCCACAATAATCAATCACACACAAAGACAAGGGGGCAGAGGGAACACTTATACAGGTACTGATGAGGGGAATTGAAACCAGGTGTGTGTAATAAACAAGACAAAACAAATGGAATGATGAGATGAGGAGAGGCAGTGGCTAGAAGGCTGGTGACGACGAACACCGAAGCCTGCCCGAACAAGGAGAGGAGGCAGCTTCGGAGGAAGTCGTGACAGTAAGCCCTGCCTGAAACATGGAAGCCCAAATGTCGCCCTCGGACCTTGAGGGTATCGTCTTGATGTAATGGTTAAGATGTTGGGTTGGTGAGCGAGAGACCCCCCAGGTTTGGATTCACCATTTAGTGTTACATTACCCCAAAAATAATGTTCTGTGGCAAAAGGTGAGTTCAACAGTACGAGTTTGATAGAATTCCAACGAAAGAGGAATTTGACAACTCTAATCTACTTACCTCATCAATGTCAACATTCCTGGGCAGCAACAACACATTTAGGGTGGAATTATTTGTATCATCTGGGAGTTGGTAAAATAGTAGCACCAGACCACGGATAGGAGAGACAGGGGCTTCCATATTCTTGGTGATGCCATATTTGCTGAATCCATTGATGTTTAATATGACATGAGTTTCTGTTGTCTCATGGGGACGGAGAAACTCCATACTGTCATCATCAGTCACATGGGCTACAGACAGGAAGTCACATCCACCCTCTAGGAGAGAAAGAGAACATTAGTCTTCTGTTCAGATGAAAATAACAACCAAGTAGTGGAGTAGTGATGCTACTGATGGTGATTAAGAATATGTAGTCTATAACCTCCCTGGAAATGTATTACTTACCAGAATGAATCTCACAGTGTGGTAGGTGTAGTTGACAGACAGACGTCTTAAGGCATGTAAACTTGAACAGGGGTCCTGCAGGCCTTTTGCCACTCTGGGCTAGAAGCCTCCTGTCCCAGGGGACTGTCCTATAGAGCACCTCTCCCTCTCCCTCCATCCTAAACACCAGGCCTGTTATACTGCACTGGAACAGACCTGCACGGGGGCACTGGAACCTGTAGAACAAACAATGAAGGATTTCATTTTAATGAGATTTCCTGGATTTAAGGTATTGTCCTTCTTTTATACAAACTACCAATAAGAAACATGAAATATATTAAGTTACTGGTATTCTCTCCTGTTGTCCTGATCGTGGATTTCAGGTGTAAATTCATCTGGAGAACTCTAAAATGTAGAAACAATAGATACTGTAATTCAACCAATAGTGTGAAGAAGAGCTTTTAAATTCAAATGTTCCTCTTTCAGTCTTTCTCTCTTCGTGATGAGGGTCTTACCGTGTGAGGGTGTTCCAGGAAGAGAGGATAATCTAAAAAGAACCAAATAAAGATCAATCATCATGTTTTTCTATACAACTTCAACTTCATCATTGATCCAGATTAATATATTAGCTGTTACCCCTTTCTCTTCCCAACTCCTCGTCCATCCTCTGGATGTTCTCCTGGGTGTTCACAGCTACCTCTGTGTTGACACTGTTAGCCATCTCCAGTGGGATGTCTAGGATGGGAGGACAGTCCATCTCCAGCTTTGGGGTTTCCTAGATTCAAATCAACAGAATAGAAACATACTTCTATAATAGAAAAATGTTCTATGTCAATTTGATCTGTTTTCTGTTCTATTGTGAACATGTTGCCCACCATGGCAGCAGTGAGAAGGGCAGGGACAATCGGGCACCTTATGTTTGATGATGGGCGGAGCTCCGTCAGTCAGTGAGACACAATCCTCCTCACTCTTTTTATCCCTGGAAACGAGACCAGGCCAGGATGGTGGCTCATTTGTTCTCCTTTTCTTTCCTGCAGGGGTGGGTGAGAGAGAGAGAGAGAGAGAGAGAGAGAGTAGAAAGGTCCGAGAAGAGAGCTAGCGAGCTCGAAGAGATATACGAGAGGCAGAGATGAGAGAGAGATATACCAGGCTATAGAGATGATGAGATGCTCTCCCCGCCTCTCTCCTTCTCTCCGCAGCTACGAGCTCGGCTCCGCCGCTTCGCGCTCCTCTCTCTCTATCTGCCGCTCTCGCGCTCTATCTCTCGCGCTCTCTTTCTCGCTGCTTCTACCTATCTCGCTCTCTTTCAGTCCACACCCCACCCTCACACTTCAGTATCGTGGTTTTTCCACATTTGTTTTTTTTTTCTTTTTCGACCAAGTGACGCAAGCCCCATTATGGGTATTGGTATTTCTGCGTCTTACCCTTTTTTATCCATCCTCATATTGCCAACCGCTTCTGATTTTCTGTCTCCATATTTGATTTTAAGGGGGCTACGAAAGTCATTTTTGTTCCTAGTGCACTCAACCTATTCGAGGAACGACATTGAGCTTCATTTTTTTCTTAGTTTATTATATAAATATTGGTGTCTTTTGTTCCGGTGGCAGTCGTTCTTTTATAGTCTATGCTATAACTTTCTCTGCATCGTTTTATCCCGCTATGCGATCTTCTCCAGAGCCTGCGAATTATTGGCGTGTTATCTCATCCAACTTGATCCCTTGGGGGGCTTAGGACCGTTTAAATTTTACACAAATCTTGTGCTCAATTTTAGTCGGGTGTCTCCTTATACACTTTGGCATGCTCATACTAGGTAGCTATATTTACACGCTACAAGGAACTTCGGGATTCCTCCTCAAGTTAACGTGCATCGAAATCGGGAGGATTGGGTATGGATGGGGCGGATTCTAATCGTCTTGTGTTTCCTTCATTTTATCTCCACCTCCTCTTTATTTTTGCTATTCCGATGCAGTATAGATCCTTATCTCAGTTGGTCAGTATTTTGGGTCTCTAAAAGGTGACAAGATATAAGTAGAGACTAGAATACTGGATACTGATATAAAGAACAATAACACCGCCCCTCCACACTCAACATGGTAATGCCGAATATTATATCACAGCTTTTATGTTCTAATGGTGTGTGTGTGTAGGGATGCAGTCTGACCCCCACCACTCTAGTGTACAATGAGAGATTAGTTAATTATCAAGACTGTAGGTGGTGGACTGTATCATTTCATACTGTAGAACTGACTATGACAGTGAGTACAGGTGTTTTAACATATGAGGGTAGAACTGACTATGACAGTGAGTACAGGTGTTTTAACATATGAGGGTAGAACTGACTATGACAGTGAGTACAGGTTGTTTTAACATATGAGGGTAGAACTGTAGAACTGACTATGACAGTGAGTACAGGTGTTTTAACATATGAGGGTAGAACTGACTATGACAGTGAGTACAGGTGTTTTAACATATGAGGGTAGAACTGTAGAACTGACTATGACAGTGAGTACAGGTGTTTTAACATATGAGGGTAGAAGTGTAGAACTGACTATTGACAGTGAGTACAGGTGTTTTATCACATATGAGGGTAGAGTGATCCTAAATTCTCTAAAACCGTCCTCTTACCTGTGACGCCTGAAGACTGGTCCTGAGCTACCAGAATAACTTGCTAGAAGAAACAGAAGGGAAGGAGGAAGGAGGAGCCTGGAGGGTAACCACACTGGGAAAAGATAACTTCGGTGGGCCTGGGTGGGAAATAAGGACAGATGAGAGGTTGAGGCTTGTACCTGAGAAAGAAGAGCTCAAAGCACCCAGTTTATAATAGATAATATACTCTATGTCCACTCATATCCATCTGGAGGGGTGGCCCTGGCTGTACCAGGTAGATAATAGATATATACTCTATGTCCACTCATATCCACTCTGAGGGGTGGCCCTGCTGTACCAGGTAGATAATAGATAATATCCTCTATGTTCCCTCATATCCACTCTGAGGGGTGGCCCTGGCTTACCAGGTAGATAATAGATACTATACTCTATGTCCACTCATATCCACTCTGAGGGGTGGCCCTGGCTGTACCAGGTAGATAATAGATAATATACTCTATGTCCACTCATATCCACTCTGAGGGGTGGCCCTGGCTTTGTACCAGGTAGATAATAGATAAATACTCTATGTTCACTCACATTCCAGAAGAGGTGCTGGGGAGTTCTCCACTCTCCTCCCCTGCTGGCTTCCTTTCCATCTCAGAGGCAGCTTCCTCCTACACACACACACACAAACACACACCACACACACCACACACACACACACACACACACACACCACACACACACACACACACCACACACACACACACACACACACACACACACACACACACACACACAACACACACACACACACACAAGTCATACACGGCTATACAGAAATATATTCACAGCCTTTTTGTCTAATGGTGTGTGTGTATGTGTGTAGGGATGCAGTCTGACCCCCACCACTCATAGTGTACATGAGAGATTAGTTAATTATCTAGACTGTATGTGTGGACTGTATCATTTCATACTGTAGAACTGACTATGACAGTGAGTACAGGTGTTTTAACATATGAGGGTAGAACTGACTATGACAGTGAGTACAGGTGTTTTAACATATGAGGGTAGAAGTGATCCTAAAATTCTCTAACCGTCCTCTTACCTGTGACCTGAGCTGTCCTGAGCTACCAGAAAAACTTCCTAGATGAGACAGAAAGGAAGGAGGAGGAGGACCTGGAGGGTAACCACACTGGGAAAAGATAGTTCGGGGCCTGGTGGGAATAAGGACAGATGAGAGGTTGAGGCTGTACCTGAGAAAGAAGAGCTCAAACCAACCCAGTTTTATAATAGATAATATACTCTATGTCCACTCATATCCACTCTGAGGGGTGGCCCTGGCTGTACCAGGTAGATAATATATAATATACTCCTATTTCCACTCATATCCACTTGAGGGGTGGCCCTGGCTGTACCAGGTAGATAATATATAATATACTCTATGTCCACTCATATCCACTCTGAGGGGTGGCCCTGGCTGTACCAGGGTAGATAATAGATAATATACTCTATGTCCACTCATATCCACTCTGAGGGGGTGGCCCTGGCTGTCCCAGGTAGATAATAGATAATATACTCTATGTCCACTCATATCCACTCTGAGGGGTGGCCCTGGCTGTACCAGGTAGATAATAGATAATATACTCTATGTCCACTCATATCCACTCTGAGGGGTGGCCCTGGCTGTACCAGGTAGATAATAGATAATATACTCTATGTCCACTCATATCCACTCTGAGGGGTTGGCCTGGCTGTACCAGGTAGATAATAGATAATATACTCTATGTCCCACTCATATTCCCACTCTGAGGGGTGGCCCTGGCTGTACCAGGTAGATAATAGATAATATACTCTATGTCCCACTCATATCCACTCTGAGGGGTGGCCCTGGCTGTACCAGGTAGATAATAGATAATATAACTCTATGTTCACTCATATCCACTCTGAGGGGTGGCCCTGGCTGTACAGGTAGATAATAGATAATATAACTCTATGTTCACTCATATCCACTCTGAGGGGTGGCCCTGGCTGTACCAGGTAGATATAGATAATATACTCTATGTTCACTCATATCCACTCTGAGGGTGGCCCTGGCTGTACCAGGTAGATATAGATATATACTCTATGTTCACTCATATCCATCCTGAGGGTGGCCCTGGCTGTACCAGGTAGATAATAGATAATATACTCTATGTTTCACTCTAATCCACTCGGAGGGGTGGCCCGGGCTGTACCATGGTAGATATAGAGAATATACTCTATGTCCACTCATCTCCACTCTGAGGGGTGAGCCCTGGATGTACCAGGTAGATAATAGATAATATACTCTATTGTCCACTCATATCCCCTCGGGGGGTGGCCCTGGGTTTACCCAGGTAGATAATAGATAATATACTCTATGTCCACTCATATCCACTCTGAGGGGTGGCCCTGGATGTACCAGGTAGATAATAGATAATATACTCTATGTTCACTCACATTCCAGAAGAGGTGCTGGGGAGTTCTCCACTCTCCTCCCCTGCTGGCTTCCTTTCCATCTCAGAGGCAGCTTCCTCCTACACACACACACACACACACACAGGGGCGGTGTGTTCATTAGGGCGATATGGGCGACGCACTGCCAAACGGGAAAAGGAAGGGATTTTTTTCCTAATCAATTATATCATATCAGTGTTCTAATCTAGACGTCTGATCTGCCAGACTGCCACTAAATGTCCAATCAGGCTAAAGTCGTGCTTCAAATGTCCCCGCCCGTTTTGGGGCGATTTCAGTCAGGTTGAAAATCGCCCAGAAGTCTCTCATAGCCTCTAATGTAAAATCAATTTTTTTCAAATATCAGAGCTTTCAATACAATCTCTATGGGTTTCTGAGGGCTTGCACTTACGCGCTTTCGTCATACGTAACGTAACTAAGAAAAGAGCCAGGGGCGCGGCTCTGTTGCGACCTGCAGTGTGTGTGACGTTATCTTATGTTTTTAATCTTATGTTTTTAATTTGTACACTTAGTGGCGTTATTTTATGTTTTTAATTTGTACACTTAGTTTACAAACATTCTGCCAACCATGGATTTCCAGCTACGAACGGACTAAATAATGAAAACGCTGCTGGCAGCGGAATCCAATACAGCAGGGACTGCGACCTTACTATCTGCCCCGTGAGTTCCCCCAATTGTTTGTTACCGTTG